GATTAATTGAGGTGAATCAAATGGCTTCTGGAAATGTTAATGGAGGTGATATTGGCGGCATTCATGGCGGAAATAATGATGATCCTTACTTCATTTCTAATTCGGATAATCCGAATTCTTCTCTTGTACCTGTTGTGTTTACTGGCGTCAATTATATGCGTTGGCGATGGAATGTGTTGCGAGCACTTGGAGAGAAGAATAAGATTGGGTTTGTCGATGGATCGATTCCAGAACCTGCTGTGAATGATTCTTTGTTTCCTAAGTGGAAACGTTGTGATTACATGGTTATGAGTTGGTTGCTGAGCTCAATGAGTGCTGATATTGCTAATGATTTTGCGTATGTTGAGAGTGCTGCAGAGTTATGGAGTGAAATCAAGGAGCGATTTGGTCAATTAAATGGTCCTTTGATTTATCAGCTTAAGAAAGAGATTAACAATCTCAAACAGGATAATCTCTCAATTTTGGCTTATTATGGTAAAATGAAGAGATTATGGGATGAAATGCAGAGTTTGCGTTGTTTTCCGACTTGTAGTTGTGGTGCTTTGGCTGGATGTAGTTGTGAATTTCTCAAGAAACTTCAAGATTTAGAGAGTGAAGAGAAATTGATGCAGTTTTTGCTTGGATTAAATGGAGGTTATGATAATGCTATTACTAATATTCTGACACAAGATCCTCTTCCTTCTATAAATCGAGCATATTCGATTGCACGGCAAATTGAGAAGCAGAAGGAGGTGAGTGGGAGTAATGATGTTGCATAGAGCAGTGTTATGGAAGCTCAACGTTTTTTAAGGAGTTCTTCTCAGCATCACGGTTCTGGTGCGATGATCAAGATAGATTAGAAGAAGGAAAAATTCAATCGTGTGTGTAACCATTGTAAAGCTAAAGGTCATACTATGGACCAATGCTTTAAACTCATTGGTTATCCTGACTAGTATAATGCGGTTAAGGCTAACAAATCTGTTGGTTCAAGAATGGTAGCTAATGTTGCTGCTAAAGATGGTATGGTTGATAGTCCTTTCGATCAGGGTAACACTGGAGATTCTATCAATTCTGTTGTTGTGGCTTCGATATGTGAGGAGGTAATAAAAGCGATGAAGGATAAGTAAGGCTCAGATGGAGGATCTTGTTATGTTAATTTTGCTGCAAATGCTACAGGTATTACTTCTTATGCTCTTCATTGTGGTTCTGTTAAAGTTTTGAACAAGAATCTTTGGATCGTTGATTCTGGAGCTACTGATCATATGGTATTTGATGAGTCCATTCTGGTGAATAAGGTGGTTTTAGATAAATCTGTGAAAGTTGGATTGCCTGATGGTAGTGTTAAATATGTGAACATTATTGGCACAGTGCGTTTAACATATTCTATTGTGCTTCATAATGTGATGTTAGTAAAGGGTTTAAAGCATAACTTGTTGTCTATTGGGAAATTGATTGCTTAGAGTGGAGTTGGTGTTGTGTTTGATACTGGAGGTTGCAAATTTCAGGACCTTACTTCTGAAAAGTTGCTGGCTGTTGGACAAAAGTGTGGTGGTTTGTGCTATTTTTCTGTTGATCATCCTCAAGTTGATATTTCTTTTAAGCACAGTTATTTGGCATGTAAGAAAGCTACTCATGTGGTATTAGCAAATTCTATTTTGTCTGATAATGTGAATAATGAGAGTCAGACTAGGAGTTTTGACTTGGTTAAGGGTTAGAATAAGGCATTTATTGTCAACAATTGTAAGCTTGATTCCTTGAATATAATGCATGCAAGACTTGGGCATGTTTCTTTGTCAAAAATGAAACATATTTCTGCTTGTCAATGTTCTGGAGTGCATGATTATAAGTGTGAAACATGTGTGTTGGCTAAACATCATAAGTTGCCTTTTACCAGAAGTGAAAATAGAGTTGTGACTAGGTTTGATTTAATTTGGTACACATGGATTTATGGGGTCCTTATAAAATCACTGAAATTAGAGGTGCTAAATATTTTTTTACCATACTTAATTGATGACCATAGTAGAACTACTTGGACCTTCTTGATACAGAATAAAGAGCAAGTTGAGAGGGTTGTTGCAAATTTTCTTGTGATGGTGGAAACACAATTTGGTTTAAATGTGAAGTGCATACAGTCTGATAATGGGACAGAATTTTTAAAGTCTCAATGCACTCAGTTGCTTCAGGCTAAAGGGATTATACATCAAAGGAGTGTAGTTGGTGTACCTCAACAAAATGGTAGAGTAGAAAGAAAACATAGGCATTTGCTTGAAGTGGCTTGGGGAATTAGATTGCATGCTAATTTGCCTAAGAAGTTTTGGGGAGATTGTATCTTAACTGCTACTCACTTGATTAATAAATTAAACTTCCTACAAAAATTTTAGATTGGAAGAGTCCTTTTGAGGTTTTGTATGGAAAGGTGCCTGCTTGTGATGAGTTAAAGGTGTTTGGATGTCTTTGTAATGCCTATAACAGAGATAAAACAAGGGATAAATTTGACCCTAGAGCCAAGAAATGTATATTTCTAGGCTATCCTTTTGGACAGAAAGCTTATAAGGTTTATGACCTTGAATCTCATACTACATTTATTTCTAGAGATGTAATATTCCATGAAATCATTTTTCCCTTCAAAGAATCTTCATCTAATGATTCTCGTGTTCCTGTTATTCCTCCCCAAGTCATCTTTAGTAATGATAATCCAGAACACATACATATTCATTCTTCTCAACCTTCATTACAATCCACACCCTATTATATCTTCTTCTTCTTCTTCTTCTTCTTCTTCTTCTTCTTCTTCTTCTTCTTCTTCTTCTTCTTCTTCTTCTTCTTCTTCTTCTTCTTACTCTTCTCCTAATAATTACTTTTTCTCTGAAAATTCCTTGAATATAAATTCTACCATTGATTCCGTCATGCAGAATCTTTCAGACACTTTCATGGATTTTCACACTAGTTTTGAACCTGTAATTCCTATATAAACCAGAACTTCCACTAGAATTACAAAAATTCCCAACAAACTACAAAATTATGTTGTTCCTTATGCACCTCATAAGCAACATAATTCACTTCCTTCGTCTTCATCAGCCACCTCAGAATCCATGTCTTTTGCTGTTACTTCAGATATAACAGGGCTTAAGACTTATGCAAAGGCTGCAAAGCATATTGGATGGCAAGAGGCCATGCAAAAGGAGTTAGATGCTTTAGAGAAGAATGAAACTTGGATTGTTACTGATCTGCTTGAAGGTAAAAGAGCAATTAGGTCAAAATGGGTTTTTAAAACTAAGTTGAATCCAGATGGGAGTATATAACGATGAAAGGAAGGGTGGTAGAAATTGGTTATCAAAAAATTGAAGGAAAAGATTTCACACAAACCTTTTCCCCGGTTGCAAAACTTGCTACAGTGAGAATTGTCATTACTTTGACTGCTATATATAACTAGACTTTATGTCAGTTAGATGTGAATAACGCCTTTTTGCATGGTATGCTTGATGAAGAAGTCTACATGGTGCCTTCTGCTGGTTACACTAAAGCTAAATCCGGGTTGCAAGTTGCAAAAATCGGTATATGGCCTAAGAAAAGCTTCTAGATAGTGGAACAAAGAGCTGAAAAAATTTCTGCACTCGATTGGTTTCAATCGGTCTACTCAAGATTATTCAATGTTTACCAGGCTTCAAGATGGGGAGTTCTTGGTTATTCTTATTTATGTGGATGACATGCTAATAACTGGTTCTTCTATGACACAAATTACTCGAGTCAAGCAACAGTTAGATGATGCTTTTACCATCAAAGACTTGGGCGAACTGACTTATTTTTTGGGCATAGAGCTGCACAGGAATAAAAATGGTATTTTTCTATCTCAAAGGAAATATATCAGGGATATAGTAAAAGATTCGAATTTGGACGATTGTAATACTACCAATGCACCTTTACCTATTGGTCCGAAGTTGTCTATTGATTCAGGTGAGTTGCTAAGTGATCCCGAAGTTTACAGGAGGTTTAGTGGGAAGGTTGTTGTATCTTGGCATTACTCGTCCTGATCTTTCTTATGCAACTCAGCATCTTAGTCAGTTTTTGCATCAACCACGAGTACCACACCTCAGAGCTGCTCTACATGTTTTGAAGTATCTGAAAGGTACCTTAGATATGGGAATATTTTATTCCTGTAATTCTAAGTTGGAGGTTTCTGCATATTCAGATGCGGACTAGAGTGGTTGTCAATTCAGCAGTAGATCTTTGAGTTCTTATGCTGTATTTCTTGAAGATAATCTTGTATCTAGGAAAACAAAAAAGCAAGCAACAGTAAGCAAATCTTCCGCTGAAGTAGAGTATAGAAGCATGTCCTTTGCTGCTAGTGAGTTAGTTTGGGCAGAAGGATTATTGTAGGACTTGCAAGTTCAGGTGCCTCTACCCATCACTATGTATTGCGACAACAAGTCTGCAGAACATATGGCTCACAATCCTGTGTTTCATGACAAGACTAAACATTTGAAGAGAGACATGCATTATATAAGGGAGCAGGTTGAATTGGGATTTATTTCAACTGTTCATGTTGCAAGTCATGCTCAACTTGCAGATTTATTTACAAAAGCTCTTACTTCAACCCAGCATCAGGAATTATGTTCCTAGCTTAGACTGATTTCCCAGTCTCAGCTTGAGGGGGAATATGAGATATTATTACATTATTATTTCTTATTATACACACACACACTTATATATATATATATATATATATATATATATATATATATATATATATATATATATATATATATACTCTCCTTGTATAGTACATATCACTTGTACCATTTTACATATACCTTCAATAATAGATTTTTCCCTTTTTCTCTGTTTTCTCTCGTTCCTTCTTTTCTTCTTCTAAAGTTCATATAATTCATGCAAAAAATAATCGAAAGAAATAAGAGCAACCTTTATATATAGAAGCTATTATTAATTTCATATATCAAAGTCATCACTTGTGTACATTTGTGTCGTAATAAAATTATCTAGCATCTTGATTTATGGAGATAATGCAAACATCAAAATGAACAAATTAAAAATGCGGGAAAATGTATTTATCAATCCATTAATGACATAGTTGCAAATCTTTTACATGACTTTGGAAATTAAAGTAGCCTAATTAAACTACAAAACTGTTTTTTTACAAATGATACATGCAAGTTGATGCAACTACTACAAGAACAATCTTTTACATTGCAAATTACAAATTAATTAATTATGATTTGGAAAGATAAATATATCTACTCCTCGGAAAATTAATAAATAAATAATTAATAAATAAATAATCTTTTCCTTTGATCACTAATTAATTGTGCCCTCATAGTGATCAGAATAAATAGTAGAACTATAATAACCCCGGTTGTGCAAGAACATGCATACATGACCATTTAGATCATGTAGCTTAACCTACGTAGATGTTAAATTTCTTGTTATCCATCTCAGTTGTTATAATCATTCTATCAATCTTTCCCTCTCGGCTCTCCTTTCTCCTCTGTGGTTGTACTTGACAATTCATTCAATCTTGTTTGATCTTCTTTACTTAAAGTTTGTGAAGGTTGTTGATCAATTCATTAAGAGGATTGCATTACAGAACAAGCGACGGCTTGAGCCCAATGTCGCAACTTGGTCTTTACTTGTTGTGGATCATCTCCTGCGAATAATCATTACAATTTATCTAGTCGTATTATTATTAAATAGGCTCACACGTTTAAGGGAAAACATTTTTATAATTACAACGCCAAAATAATTGTTATATTTTCTATAGTAGAGCTATAAATGTATAAATTTTAAGTACTACACATAATTTTTTTTCATAGAGCAACCTTGTAAAGTTTTGATATAACGAATCATAGTAAGAGGGTGTTGTAATTTCGGACCTTAATATTATTAATATTTTAACTTGCATGCTTACAAGTAAATTTTCTAAATGATTGTTATCAAGCTTGTGAAATGCACTCAATATTCATTATAACAAGTTAGTATTAAAAAGTAGTAATGTATAATGTATTAATTGGTGATATATATTCGCATATGATAATTAAGAAAAGAGTAATGTCAAACCTGGACTGCATATTTTCCAAGAATCTTCACTTCTTGGACTATTTTCAAATGAGGAGGATCTTGCCCCCATGGAGCTAGTTGATGCTTGGCTATGGGGTGAAGACAATGGACTCGGCGACAATTGTCGATTAACGGCAAAGTACAAGTCCAAAGCTGGCAAGGTATTGCAGAGCTTTTGGCCTGCCTCTTCATTAAAGCCAAACCCAAGCTCAATAGATCCTTTTAACTCATGTAAATCCTCGTCTGTTAAATCATCCACTTCAAGAACCAAGCTCTTTTTCTTCTCTTGTCTTAATTTTTGACGACGTCTTTTCTCCCATGCAACATCCCTATGAGTTTCACACATGGACAATTGCTTAGACAACCTCTTTTTGCTCTTCCAAAATGGAGGAGCATGAACTAGTCGTTGTAGCTCCTCGGATTCTGACGACTCAAGTGAGGAGGTATCAATCTTCAATGATGAAAATCGAGAACGATTGGTGGGAGGTGGTGGTGGAGGAGGTGGTGGAGAAGATTTTAATTTCGAGTCCATGTAAAGCATGCTCATATTGTCCCAAGAATGCATGAAATTAATATTGCAGCTTGGTAATAAGGAGGCAGATGGAGAAGTTTGGTGTAGGGCCGTGGCAGCAAAAAGCTGCCGCGGCCTAATTAGAGAAGGAAAAAAAGTTGAAATGACTGTTATGCCTAAATTTTAATTGATAAATAATGATATCTCCGGGGAAATTGATTATACTACTATAATATTGTGTTGCTAGATTTATGTGAGAATAAAAAGGGGTGAGGGCACAACAACTATCCCAACTAACTTGGGAGGAGGAGGAGATAGATAGAAAGAAAGGGAATAATGGAGGGATTTGGAGTATTTGTAAGGAAAGCGTTAGTTGTGGTTATCCATTGAGATGTATAAGTGCTACTACCATTCATTTTGGTAGCAATTATAGACAATACATGTAAGGGAGTGTTAAATTTAGAGGGTGTTGGTGTTGGAAACTTAATTTTAGGAAAAACTTCATGTAAGTGCATATGTTATTCTTGGAATGTTGGTAATAAAACCTTCCTATATCTAACATATAGTTATTCTTGTGTGTGGTATAATTTTATTAGCATATACCTTTTTTTTATAGGCATGTGATTATATGAAAATGTAACCTTATAGAATACATGCACTCCTCTGTACAGAATTAACCAACTTAGAGTTTGTTCAACACACGAGATTATAAAATCAGTAATTTGACAATAACTTATATAAACACACAGTTCTAATAGTAATTTATTAAAAATATTAAACCGTATGATGAACATTAAAGATTCCATAGATTCAATGAACATACATAGTGTATGGAACAATATAACTTAGAGTTCTAATAGAATCCATAGATTCAATGAACATACATAGTGGAGACTTTAAAAGTAATCTTGTTGTATGAATAACCAATCGATTTTTTATTTGCTCGCAATTCTCACAAGTCTTTTCAGCGCCAAAATTTGATGATGTCTTATATTTTGTCACATACATTATTATAGAAGCAAAAGTATTAAATCAATATTATAAAGATGTCTCCCAAAAATGATACTACAATTGTAAAAAAAAAAAAAAAAAAAAAAAGCCAAAATACCCTTGCATCCAAGCACCATTTCGATAGAGTACTTATAGTTTAGACCTTTTAATGAAGGAACAATTCGTAATCTCAATACCCTATCTTGTTCATTCAAATATTTCTTTGGAATAGCTCAAGTTTGTGCCTTTTTCATTGTGTTTATAATTCATTAATATGTGTTTATTATTAAAAATTTTATAACAACTAAGTGGTACGATGATTTATTTTATGTTTTTTATGATAAGGAAATTAAAATATCTTGCGTCATTGTTTGGTGTTATGTTTGGATTTATACAAGTACAATATTTTGGTGAAAAATTGACAATATTTTGTCGAAAAGTTATATGGTGTATTCCTTTATAATCATAGAACTAACACCTTCTACAAAGAATAATTCCTCTATTTTTTTATTATGTTTTTCACATTTGCTTTTTGCACATTTCTAATTTATTTAATAAAAACTTTCAAGCTACGTATGAAAATATATGAAATTACAATATAGGGAAAAAAAAAATTCAAACAAGATCTATTTGACAATGTTTTTTGAAGTATAGAAAATCATTGAATTATTATAATAAACAATTTATCTATCATATATCATGGGACAACATTCCTTGAAAATATGTCATGACGTCATGTGTCAATTCTTCTTCTTAATACGTATTAGTGTTTAGGACAATATATGTCCAAATGTTGCACTTGTTTAAAAAAAAAAGAGGACATACAATTGTACATTTGTTGTGCAAATTTTTTGTATTTTTTATCTATATATATATCTATACTATATATTAAAAGGCGTTCCTACTCAAGGATACACGGCACGTGTCACCCCTCTCTTCACCAAGATGATGCCACGTCACTAAGGAGAATTGATACATGTCAATTAAAAATTGTTTATGTCAAGAATTGAACTTGGGTCCATTAAATTATAAATAAGAAGTCATACCATATTTGTTATCTAATATTTTTGTTTATTTATTCTTCTTAAATATACTTAGGGCCTGTTCTGATATATTGAGCTGAGCTGAATTGAACTGAACTGAACTGAACTGAATAGAGTTGAAATGAATTGTTTATGAGAGAAGGAAATTAGGAGCTGAGGTGAACTGAACTGAACTGATAGGAGTTGAACTAAACTGAACTGAACTGAAATTAAGCTGAAGAGAACAGGCCCTTAATGTAGGGCACGAGTCTTTTTTTTTTTTTTACAAATCATTTTCTTCAATTAGATCTATAATAAAAGTATTTAAGATTATTATAATACATGAAAACTATGATACGAAGTGAAGAATATTTAATTTATAGACCCGGGGCATCGCCCGAGCTAAACACTAGTTATCTTTAAAATTGTGCAACCTTCTCTAGCCATTAATAACTAGAAAGATTGAACACAATTTTTTGTATGTGGCTGGCCACATGGTTTGACCAGCTACAATGTAAGGCCCATGGCCATTCAGGCCCAATAAATTACGGATTCCAAATAAAAAATAACGGACCCAATTAAATATCTCGTTATCTTTAGAATTTCAACCGTTTTATTTGAACTTCCAACTTTGAAGAAACCCTTCTTTGAAATGTTGTCGTTTCCATCTCAAGAATCTTTCAAATGGTGGTGCAAAGCTTCTGCAACTAAGAGTAAGCCAAACTCCTCTGAAAAAGTTAAGAAAAACCATTAATCACTAATTAATGTCAATTTTAATGAAATGTTTAGGAATTGAAAGTTCGGGGTTACAGGAACAAATAACAATTGGAGGAGGAAAGCACATGGGACAACGACAGCATATGGATAGTGGAGGAGATCCAAAGCATCAATTATAGGATTGATTTTAGGGCTAAAGAAGAGTTAAGAAAAGAAGGGAAACTCAGAATTTGTTCCAGCAAAATTCTAGGTTTTGTACCAGGTCATAAGGTAGGAGACCTATTCGAGTTTCGAGTTGAACTCAATATTATTGCATTTTATGGTAGAGTTAAACATGGAATTGGTTACATGGAGTATTTGAATCGGTTTTGTTTTTAGTTTCTTTAATTTTTAGTTTCTTTTGTATTTGTTTTGTGAATTTTGACCTAAGTTTTGAATCGGTTTTATTTTTGTGTCATTTTGTTTCATGTTCTAAATTATTTATAAATGAGTTACTTGAAATCAGGGGTTACTTATAATATGGGTTAACTGTTGAGGGCCTACTAATAGTACTTGTTACTTTAAATTAAGGGAAATTTATAATATGGGTTACTTGTTTTTGTTTTATGTTTTGGGTATGTTATAATATGGGTTACTTGAAATTAAGGGTTACTTAAAATATGGGTTACTTGAAATTAGGGGTTACTAATTGAAAATATGGGTTACTTGAAATTAGGGGTTACTTATAATATGGATTACTTGAAATTAGGGGTTACCTGAAATTAGGAGTTACCTGAAAATTGCGCGTGAGTGTCAGACTCTGTTATGCGCGTCAGACTCCAATATTTTTGCTAAGTTGGCAGCAAGCCACACGGTGTGGCATGCTGCACCAAAAAGGCATTGTGACAAGAATAATGCGAAGTTTCACCAATCCACTAAAATATAACAACCTTCTAATTATCCTAAAAATAGGGTGGCTTGCGCAAACCATGGCTAGTAATGTCCGGGAAGCTCTTTTAGTTGGCAACATAGTGAGGTTTTTTTTAGGGATTAAATGTCCACACAATATTTCTAAGAATCTATTACATACTACTAAAAGCGAATAAAAAAAGACACTTGTCAATATTGCATTAAAAACTAGCTAAAATCCCGTGCCATGCACGGTTATCTTAAATTTTATATCGAAATATTATTTTTGTATATAATGTATTAACAAAAAAAAATTATTTTTTACCAATGCGAATCACTTAAATTAAATCTATATCCAATACCATAGACATCAAAGTTATTACCCTTCGTGTTTTTTTTTACATACTTCGTGTATGTTATCAAAATAATTTTTTTAATGAAATGAATTCTATAGCCAAAAAATAAAGTTTGAGAAAAAAGAATGATAATATAGCGTAGGTAAATTCTAATTATATAATAGTATATATAAAAATTTACCTAGTATATTATTGAAGATATGTACAAAAATTCTAGTTAATTGTATACAGATTAAATATGATTACCAAAATGAGAAGAAAATAATATAGATTATGAATTGAGATTTTTAATTTGATATACACTTTTGTAGGTTTTATTATTATTATTTTTTTCGGTGTTCCACCCGGTTTCTCCATTTTGGCTAATCTAGATTCAGATCGAAGATCAGTTCAGGGTGGTTAGGTTCTAATCCCCTCCCAATTGTTGTTACGGGGTATCGAACACGGGTCCTCCCATCCCTATCTACCAAGTGCAGTCCCAATCACCACTACACCAACAACCAATTGGTATATTATTGTAATATACGTTGTATGTATAAGTGAATCAATTGTAATTATTTAAAATTATTTTGTTTAATAGATTTTCCTTAATAACATAGAAGACATTGCATTTATTTTCTTTTAAAAAAATACAGTATCCGGTGAATAATTATATAGTATGTACTCGTATAATGTTAGTCAATGGTTTTCTGATTTGGTAAATATATACTCCCTCTATCCTTTTATTTTTGCCCCATTGTCATTTTTTGGGTCAAACTTTGTAAATTTTGACCGTAAATTACCGTTAATGTACAAAAGATAACACAGTCATGAGTGATCTTGTTAGATTTGGCACATTGCATATTTTATTAATATTACGTTTTTATAATTTTTACGTGTATGGAAATGAAGATATGTGCGTTCTAAGTAGCGTCTTGGAAATCGTGAAAAGTCAAATGGGGCAAAAGAATAGGGACAGAAGGAGTATATGGTAAATATTTTTTTTGAATAAATATATGGAAAATCTTGTGTATCAATGGATAATTAAAAAAAAATTAGATTTTATTTTTAAAGTTGGAGGGAAAAAATAGCACCAGGAATTGACACGTGTCATTCCTTATGTCTGTTTTAATATTATGTATTATTGATTTTCCCTCCAAAAGTACCTTCTTAAAATAAATCATTGTTACTTAGGGAAAAAAATCAATTACATACTATTACACGCTACTAAAAGCGAATAAAAAAAGACACTTGTCAATATTGCATTAAAAAATTTCACTCCAAAAGTACCTTCTTAAAATAAATCATTGTTACTTAGAGAAAAAAAATTGTATCTAAATTATGACATTTGTTTTATATAAAATATAATTCCTTTCCAAAAATATTAAACTGTCCATTATAACTGTTACATGTAATTTAAATATTTTCCCTTGCTTCTTTTTATTTTTAATACACAACATATTTTTAATACTCAAGTCATTCTATTTATATAATTTTTACAATATTATATTTAAAAGTATTTAACAACCGTGCATTGCACGTGATTTAACCTAGTTTTAAAAGAATAAGACAATTAACATTGATGATGGTAAATAAGTAAATAATTAAACATTTTTTAGCTTATAATTGTTTAACATTAAATCATACAAGGAAAAGAGACCATTAACATCATATCAATAATGATATATAGGTAAACAAACATTTTAATGATATAATAATCCTCACACTATTCATAGGTGTTCACTCATAATTTTTAAAAGGTAGGGATTAATATAAAATACTCCGTATCACATTGGGGGGGGGGGGTTGCTTTAGAAAAATCATGACCGACTGAAAACCGGTTTTAGCAAGTTATGTAACACATGTCACTATTTAATTGATTTGATATTTTAATTTTAATTTTTATGACTTAACTCCAAAATAAATTTATTAGAAAAAAATCTTTAACTCTCTCCTCCACCAGCATTCTTGCTTGCCATCCACAATCACCGGCCACCTCCGATCCTTTTCGGCCTTTACGACTGCACCTTCATCGATACATCTCGACCGGAGCACCATCCCTCAAACACTATTTTTTGATTTTACCACCCAACTCTATCTTGGCTGGCGACACAGTATGGCCGGGGTTATTTGATCGGTCAGGGTTACTCGGTCGGGGTTGTGTAGTCGAGGTTACTCAAATGGTCAGGGGTTACCAGATCACTGTTTTGATGTATATCAACTTGTCGCATGGTATAACTAACCAAAAAAAAAAAAATAGATTTCTCCGGCTAAAGCTGGGCACCGTGCCGTGCCGGCCATTTCCACAAGTCGGCCCACGGCACGGCACGGCCCACGTGCCTAGCGTACCGTGTCGTATCGGCCCCCTGTGCCGCCCATTTTTTTTTTATATTTGCTTTATTATTTTGTTAAAAAAATATTAATTTTATTATAAAAGTATCGTGCTTGGCGGGCCGTGCCAACGGGACGGTGTTCGTATCGCCCGCCGTGCTCATGCCAAATTTCAATTTTCTTGTTCATGGCACGGCCCACGGCCCACCGGCCGATCTCGTGCCGGACTGGGCCATCTGGCGTGCCGTGCCGGGCAGCCCATGTGCCAGCCCGGCCCATGCCCAGCTAATTCTCCCCTACGTAATGAGGATTCTAGGAGTCATTCGCTCATTCACCATCGCCGTTACATGTAGTTTGGTGTTACACATAGCTAGAAGCATCGTTTGAAATCATCTCTGTAAACTAAACTCAAAAAGTTGTTCTTCCCTCTTCTCTTCAAACTACTCTACTCTGCTCTGCTCAACTAGGGTTTTCTTCTTCTCCATCAATGGCTGCCGACGGTTCTGTAGCTCTCGCAGGTCCTCTTTCTCTTCCCCCTTTTTCTCTCTCCTCTTTTTGCTATTAATTCGACAAAATTATAATTTGTTTCCATTGTTTTTCTCTGATTAACAGTAAAGCAACAGGTGCAGGATTTCTTAAATGCTGCTCTTACTGGGAACCTTGATTTCTTCAAGAGTAAGTTTTTCTCAATTTGGTTAATTTCTTGGCTTATTCAATAAATTGATGGTGTGAATTTGAGCTTAAAGTTTGTTGATTGTAGAAATGGCGGAGAAATTGGATGATGGGCAAGGGTTGTCGAAGACAGTGGCGGATGTTAAGGATGCTAATGATCGAACCGCCCTTCATTTCGCGGCCAGAGAAGGGCAGACTGAAGTTTGCAAGTATTTGTTGGAGGAATTGAAACTTGATGTTAATGTGAAAGATGCAGATGGTATGGATGATTTGTATTCTCAATTCTAACAATTGCAATTCAGTGAATTAGAAATGTCTGTTCTTGAAAGTTATTGAATTTTTCGTTGTAGTTATTGTTGATGAGGGAAATTTTAGCATTTTAGTTTAGATTAGTTACTCAATGATTTTGTGTAGCTCTAGAATTGAATGCAGTTTATTTTGAGCATGTTGGGTTTTTTGGCGAATGATTTTTTAGTAGTTTGGCTTGTGTAAACTTAAACTTGTTTGATGGTGCGATTCCGTCTTCCTTAGATGCCTACCAATGTTAAATATATTGTAAATGGGGTGTAGATGTGTAGGTGACACTTTCGTTGGCTGAAATTGTTTTAAATTATTAGCTAGTTATTTTGAAATTATTACTCTAGAGATGTGCTGAATATGTAATGCTGTATAGGTTACCCTTTTGTCATTGCATGCAAATTTTTTTGTGTTCCTAAAAGATTGCTCCATATGCCAAAATTGAACGTCCCTAAAAGATTGCTCCATATGCCATTATTGGATGTCCCTAAAAGAATGCCCCTTACCTGTTTTGGTAAAATTTCCCATCCACTCTCTCAATCTCTTTCCTCACCAAAATTGTGCCCACCCATTTGCACAAATTTGTTTTGATTCTTAAGGAAGTAAAATTTGGGTTGGGGTCAATATTGTAGGGATGAAAATAGGTGTAAGTAATTAGAGAACTTGCAGGAGCATTTTAGCTAGAATAAAAAAAAAAAAAACCAAATTGAGGCCATTCTTTTAATAGTTAACAATGATTGGATTTGAAGTACTTAGAATTAATATTGTTCTCTTGATGGGGCAGGAGAGACTCCTCTAGTTCATGCAGCCAGACAAGGGCACATTGCTACTGTGAGTTATCTTCTTGATCATGGTGCAGATCCTGCAATTGCTAGTGATTTAGGGGCTACAGCTTTACACCATGCCGCTGGAATAGGTATGCTTTTGTAATATTTGTCAAACTATGTTTCACAGGTAGAATGATAGAGATTGCCTAGAAGTGTAAAGGATTCTGTAACTTGACTAATGATTCTTCTAAGAAGAACTATCCTGTCCACCGCCTCTTAAAGTTTCTTATGGCTCCATGCTTTCAGTTTGATGTGTTCATTGGAAAGCTAATGTAGGAAATATTGAATTGATGAAAGTACTACTTTCCAAGGGTGCTCCTGTTGATTCGCAAAGTGATTCTGGCACTCCGTTGATTTGGGCTGCTGGGCATGAACAAAAAGAGGCTGTAGAGGTTCTGTTAGAGCACCATGCTAATGTAAGTATGCAGCTGTTAGTAAATGTAAATGCCTTTAAGCTTACTAAAGCTGTATAAGGGCTTAGTTAATGTGTTGTCAGCTTTCTCCATTGGTTTGATATCTTGATTGTGCATGTTCGGCCTTTAAAGTCTTCTGATCATGCTTTCTGCCCAATTGTGTTGTTTTCTTGTTGTTGAGAATTGAGAGGCAACTTTGAAATTGCTCACTAACGATGAATTTAGCATGGCAACACTTAATATTGTGTAACTTAAGTGTAAAATGTTCTTTTATTATACTTAGCATTTTGATTACGTATATAATTATAATGGTATGTCAGTTTTGTAGCCCTAAACTAGAGTTTATCGCTAGACATAACATCTTCCATATCAAATCGTGTGACAACCCAGTAAAAGATTTAAAGAACGGATTTTTCAGCATATAACCATGAATGTTCAACTTGTTCACGTCCCCAACTTTCTAAAATCCATCATATTCCTCTCCATTTTGTGAATATGTACCCATCAGTAATGACTACATCTGCCAACTCTATTAGCTAAGCAATTTCTAATTAACTGTAATTCTTTCTTCTATCTTCCATTAACCCCTATTTAACCTGTTGCTCTATTAATTCACTCAATAAAGTCTAGTCAAACCAGAAAATAATTAAATTATGTGGGAAATTAATTAGGGTTTAAAGAGAGATAAGGCAGACCTAGAATTAACACCAGTAAATAATGGGAGAAAGTATGCCAATTTAGAGTTAATTAGTGTTAATAAGAGACGTTAGTGGTTGTTTGGAGAAGGAGGATTTGGATGTGGAAGGTGAACCCCTTTGCTCTTGGCATGACATGACTATATCTTGATGTAGGGATGAGATTAAAGGCAGTGATCACAATCATTAGATATTACATAAGGATAGGAGCTTTTAACATAAAATTTGTCTAACATGTTTCAATTCAATTCTTGTAGAGGTCCATTAGTGAGGCTTTTAAGACTATGAATCGAAAAGAGCATGTATACCATGTTCGTCACTTTGATCCCAAAAATGATCGGTTTAAGAGAGTGAGGGTATTTTGTTTCTTCTGATAATGTTGTTCCGTTATGTGTATAACTATGAAAGATGCTCGGAAATCTGGTTTAAGATGATTATTCCTAGTACTACTTTGAAGCAAAGTGGTTTTATTTTTGTGTTGCCAATAAGGTGGTGGAAGATGTTCAGAGGAGAGATGAGAAAGGTGTAACCTTCGAACTGAATTTTAGAGAAAGTTTGTGATAGGTTGAAGGTTAATAGATAAACGTTAAGAAGTATTAAGGGTTTGAAAGTCAATGGAGACAAAATCTTGGAGGACTTCAACGATTATTTGTGGAACAATACTTGGAGTTTGTTTTTCACGTATCATGAGTCCATGATTAGTGACTCCTTGTCTTCCATTTTTGTTTAGTTTGTGACCGACACGTTTGAATATAAAGTTATGAAGTGTGCCAACTGCCAAAGTGTAGTTATTCCAAGGCTTTGAGAAAGGTTAGAAGAGCTTGCAGTGATGGTTTCTTAATTAGAGTTTAGATAACCATGCTTAAGATTGTGCTTACTTTTCTACTCCCTCCGTTAATTTTTATTTGCAACTTTTGCCATTTTAGTCCGCTAACCATTATGTGCAACTTTCTATTTTATTTCTATTTTTAGTACATAAAAACCCTAAAAATTACAAATTTACCCTTAATTAAAAATTCTGATTTTAATAATTTTACTAGTGGGTGGGCCAACTTTCTCTCTCCAAATACTTTAATCACTTCCATTTGCTAGTGGGTGGGCCAACTTTCTCTCTCCAAACACTTTAATCACTTTCATTTACTCTCATTAATGTTTGCCCCTTAAATTTTGCCTCGTAAACCGCAAAACCCCCTAAAGTTGCAAATAAAAATTAACGGAGGCAGTATATATAATTTGCACTACTGCAAATATTTTCTCTATGAAAGGTTTGTTGATGCGGAAATTTTAGATATTGCTTACTATTATGTGAACAATAATTAATACTTCTTCCGTTCTCCTAATATTGCAACAAGGGGGGAAGACACGGAATTTAAGATGAGGAGAGGGATAGAGAGAAATTAAGATAGGGATCCATGTGATGAGAAGAGAGATAAAGAGAAAGCATGTTAGAATATTTGATTATTGTACTATTAGGGGAATAGAGGAAGCAACAATTAAGGAAAACTAAGCAATCAAACCAACCAACCATGAAGAAGAAAGTGCAATAGAGACACAAGACATGCCGTGGGAAACCCCATTTCAATAATCAATCTAAGCCTTAATCCCATAATTGGGTCGGCTACATGAACCATCAGTTCCGTAAAGTCATCCACAAAAATCTTCCTCCATCTCTTGCGATCAAATACCTCATTCTCATGCAAGCCTATTTACTTCATATCTTTCCTAACTCCTTCCAACTAAATTAATTTCGGTTTTCCTCTACCTCGTTTAAACTCTCCATGATCCCACTTTTTCACTCTTTGTACCTGTGCACCCTGTGTCTCAGTCTTACATGCTCGAAAACCTAAACTAACACAAATGATTTTCCCTTAGTTTGTCTGCAATGCCTGGAACACCCACTTTTTTGCAAATAACTTCCTTTCTGATTCTCTCTCTTAGAGTGTTCCCGTACATCTATCTTAACATGTGCATTTCCGCAACCTCCATCTTTTTAACGTGCTTCTCCCAACATTCTGTACCCTAAAGCAACATTGGTCTTATGGCAATCCTATAGAATTTCCCCTTCAATGCTTTGGTCACATGATACTTTCATGGGTATTGCTCGCTCTCCATTTAAGCCACCCCGACTTAATCCCATGAGCCAAGTCTTAATCAATGTCACCATTTTTCTGGATGATCCACCAAATATATTTAAAACACTCACTCATGGTTAAATCCTTTCTGTCTAAACTCATTATATCATTGCCTGCTTCATCTGTGTATCAAAACGGCATACTAAATATTCCGTCTTACTTCGACTTAGCTTAAACCTATAGATTCCAATCTTTGCCTTCATTGCTCCAATTTGGCATTAACCCCATCTTTAGTTTCATCCACCCGATATCATCCGCAAACAACATACACTATGGGACCTCATCTTGAATTGCCTTGTTACTTCATCTAGAACCCTAACTCTTGGTAAAAATCTACTGACATGCACTATGGAGTAAATTGATGAAATTTGCAAGCATTCAATTGGCCTTTAAATTCTCTCTTTATAAACTATACTTAAGTAGCCAAAACCGGCTAAAAAGGGGTATTTATACCAGGTTACGTAAAGCATTAATGAACAAAATCGACAGACATGCCAAGTTTCAAAACATCAAAGTGGAAACACAAGTTTGCACGGATGTGCAGCATCTGTGCACCAAATTCTGCATGGACGTGCTCTTGCTACTTCAATATTCCTTGCGTGCACCAAATTAAGTTCCCCTCGGAGCCAACTTCCATGGACATGCACATATCAGCATAACATGCTTTACATTCCATTGTTTCTTTTTTAAATCAAACCCAAACAATCTTCCACCTAAATATTAGTTTAAAGCTTTAAACAAGAGCCATCCATTGAACCTCATAAGTACCAAGCACATCATCATCCAACTTTGTACTTTAGCATATTGCGTTGCCCAACTTAGAATTTTCAGTGCAAAACTCTTGTGTGCCTCCTTCTTCACCTTGTTCATTATCAAATAAACATTCATCATAGAGACACTGAATTTCCCACCATGGTTCTCCTGCAATGACCAATATTTATAGCATTTCAACCAAACACTTTTTGTGAAGCTATAGCTCCCTCATGACCACCTTTGTTGCATTTCTTGTGGTGTACAATGTTCCACTTCTTGCCCATAAGCTACCATTGTAGTTCCCTTGGTAATTTCAAAGAATCACCATTAAACATAATCTTATAACTATGACTTGTCAAGTTGACTAACAAATCACTTGGCATCCTTCAAAGCCAACAAGTCTCATTCCATAAGTTTTGCACTCACATCACCCTTACCATTCTGTCTTATGACTAAGGCAAAGTTGACTACAAAATCAATGCTTTGTATCAACTAAAGATAATTGTTCGACAGTCAAATTAAACTTATTTATGTGTTCGGTGGCTTGAACTATCATCATTCTCCTCCTAATTAAACGAAAGACATTTCAAATATACCTTGGTCATTGCCAGAGGTTTCTCATACATATTTGATAAGGTTTTATCAAATCAGACATTGTTGCCTCATCCTTGACATTAAAATCCTCACTTTGGGCTAATCTCAACCTGACTACACCTATTGCTGGCTTATCTAACATAATCCAACCCTCCATATTATTTAATCTCTTTTGCTTAAGAGGTAAGTAGATATACTTTTGTTACAACTAATCCTCAATTTGCATTTTCCAAAGTTAAATAATATCTCCCAATCAAAGTTTCTCCCTCAATTTTTCCACTTTTGTTGTGTATAATTTATGTAACCACCAATGCTCACAACTTTGATTTCCAACACTTAAATTAAAACTTCAACACTAAAGATTCAACCTTTGACTTATCAACCACAAACAGCTAATATACCAACCATCTAACATTTCTAACCCAAACCTACACCAACTTAACCTTAGCTCTAATACACTTGTTAGGATTTAGAGAGTGCTAATTTGTAGTTACTTGCAATTAACTATAATTAAGGGAAACAAAGCAATTAAACTGACTATTTTGATGATAATGCAAGAGAGACATGGAAATTACAATAAAAACTACCAAAGTGCACTATGGAGTAATCTACGGATAATCAACGGTGATTTACAAGCATTTAATTGAGTGGAATGCTCCTAGTAATCTTTCTCCTCTCAAGAAACCCTAGCAAATTTGTTTAAGCATCTAAAATCCAACCAAAACCGGCTACTAGGGGTTATTTATACTAGGTTACATCAAGCATTAATGAACTGGTGGATATGTGATGCGTGTCCAATTATTCCAGGTGCGTGCCAAGTCTTAAAACGCCAACCAGTAGCTTCTTCGGATATCTGGAAACACAAGCTGCATGGACGTGCTACTTAGCACTGTCTCACCAAATTGTGCATGGACCAGGCTTGCTTTTGATCTTTTCTGTTCCCCTGGAGCCATCCAGCCTGCACTAACGCGATTTCAGGTTATAGGACACTTTTTTGCTTTCCATTGACTTAAACCCAAGCCAACCATCCTTACTTGCTCTGAACTATCTCTATTAATTATTAAACCCAATAGCTGACTAATATGGTACAATGGTAGATCCAAATACATATGATTCTCATTTTCAAAACAATAAGATTAGTGAACTTCAGATGATTTTGGGCTTTTGAAATTGAAGGAAAGTAGCATACTTTATATGTACACATTCAGTATTCCTGCTGTATATTAGCGTAGTGCACATGATTCATGATAGCTTGCCTGTTATGTCTTACTTGCTGCTTGTATATTTTTTTGTAGAGCTGATGTGTTAGCTTCTTATAGGAGTATGTATTGTATATAAGTCAGGCTAACCTAGGTTGTAAGGCATTGAGCCAAAAACACAGCAATCAAATATCGATTCTGTAAACAAATTGCGGCGCACTCAAAACACAAAATCAAAAAGCGAAAGTTTCAACCTTTCATTCAAAACCCAGATTTTCTCAGAAATTGTTTCAGAGTATTGTTGATGGCATTGCTGTTTATATGATGTGTAATCTTTTATCATTTCTTTGCCCTTTGTTTGCTAAGATATTGTAACTTCATTTCAGTACAATTTGTGATTTTGTTTTCCTTTCCATGCATCCATTGAGAGTGATTCATGAGGCCAACATTCATGGATATTTGGGCGGATCATAATAATCAGTGCATTCCTTTTGCAGCCAAATTCTGAAACTGATGAAGGTATAACACCATTGTTGTCATCTGTGGCGGCTGGTTCGCTGGAATGCTTAGAGCAATTAATTCAGGTCTGCTTGATATAGTTTGTGAAGTTTGCTTGTACAATGGTATTCTGTTAGTGTGTTCATTAATCATTATTATGGCGTGGGTCCCCCCCTCCCCCTACCCCACACACACCACCACCACCACCACCACAGGAAAACGATACTTGAATAGCTGAATTATAATCTGGTACCGCTAAACTCAGTAGAAATACTACTCCGCTGTTCTTTTATAGTTGACACATTTTGAATATTGACAGTATTCACAATTTGTAGTTTGACTAGCTTTTGTGATTTATAGCTACGATAAAACATAGTCATGTGGGATATTGTTTGAGGTATTCCAACTGTAAATTTTAGTACATCAACTTTTTATGATTTTACATTTTGATAATTAGAGATATCGTTAAAACTGTGCGTTGTCAAACGTGTCAACTAAAAAAGAATGAAGTACTGTTTTTTCATGCCATTATTGTTATTCTTCTGCTGACTTTTACTTTCTCCAGGCAGGTGCAAAGGCCAATATCTCTGCAGGTGGAACGACACCATTACATATTGCTTCTGATCTTGGTAGTATCGATCTTATCAATTGCTTATTGAAAGCTGGAGCTGATCCAAATGCTACAGACGAGGTGAAGCCAACATATCTTTTTAGATATATAATATAGCTGTGAATCTGTGATGTTATATTCTGTTTTTATTTATTTATTTATTTATTTTCCTTTTTTTGGTCTGGATCGTTCACTTGTCATATTTTCTGATGTACTTCATGCTTACTTTAATTGTTTCATAAACAGGATGGCCAGAAGCCAGTGCAGGTTGCTGCTACACGAGGGAATAGAAATGCAGTTGAGATACTACTTCCCTTGACTACACCAGTTCAATCTATTCCTAACTGGACAATTGATGGAATTATCCAATATATGCAGTCTGAAACTCAAAAACAAGAGGTACCCATCTTCTTCCTATCATGTCTGCTTTTCCTGCTGTGGATAGTTTGGAAACTAACCCTGTGTGATCTTAAGGGGGGTAAGGCAGTGAGGCTGTGTACATCTTATGCATACGCACATTAACCTGTCCAACGTCATGACCTGGAATTTTCAATGCTCCGTAGGTTCTAAAATTTAGGCTTCAGTTTATACCTAAGGTTCTGACAGGCATATACCCTTTCTTGGTTGTGGTGGTACAATATGATTATGTGGGTGCAAAAGGGGGCGGGAGGGAGGAATTGGTGTAGCAGAAAGGGAGTTATTGAGCGTTTCTTCCTCTCTCAGTTTTTTCATTTTGTGTGTGCTCAAGATGCTGGCTTTCCATTTTTGAAACAGTAAGTAGTTAGTTAGGGTTCTAGGTTTTGAAGCGTAACATGCCGGTAGGTGGCAACACTATGAAATTCTATAATGGTTTAGCTAGTATTGAAGATGGACCAAGATCAAGGGGGAGTGAATAATGAATTTGCTCATTCGTCAGACATTTCTGCTTATACTGTAGTATGGCTATAGGATTCTGCCCATATTGATTCAGGGTAAGCCTTGCCTTGTGGAAATTGAATGTGGCATGAAGAGGTTGACAGAATCATGGTAAATAATGTAGTTTAAGTTATTCTGCTTTTGCTTTAGTATATTGAAGTTAATTTTAAAAGGCATATCCTTGGTATTACTTGTGGAGTGTACTGTTGCATCACTTGCGTAGTTGCGTGGCACTGTCTAGTGCTCATGGTCTTATTTAATCCATCTGTTGCTTTTGTGTCTTTTTTTCATCCATCATTTGCCTAAGTCTTTATCTATTTTTCAAATATATACCATTGTAAACTGTTGTTAGTTGTATTGCTCTACTTGAACCTGCTATCACTTACTAGAGCAGGGATTGATTTGCACTGTTATTGTAGGAGCTTGCCCGAAGTTTCAAAGAACTTAATTCACAAAAGAATACCAACTTATCAAGGCAGGATTTGCCCGAGGTACATTACTCAGCTATCATTTCATGTTTAATTATTCCTAGTTCCTATTAGTATTAGTTCTTTTGTGATGGAACTTATGGTTCAGTGCCTCCTTAGCATAACATCAGAAACTGCCAGAGTGCCACTTATGCTCTTTCTTTGATTATTTTTCATCTTTAAGTTCCACGCGTGACATTTTTTGTATTTTACTATGACTCTTTAAGGTAAGCATACAAAATCAGTTTTTTTTTTTTTTTTTTTTTTTTTTTTTTTTTTTTTTTTTTTTAATAAATCTTTGCTGGTGAATGGTGTTGAAAGTGGTAAATGGAAAGAATTATGTCCATTTGTTTGCTGCGATTAAGCATAATCTAAAACAATCATGGTGCAAATTTTTATGCGATTATGTACTACCTCCTTTTCTTTTTATTTCACCCATTTTGACTTTTCACGCTTGTCGAGGCTTTAATTTGACCATTTGTATCTTAAATAGTTCCTCCATTCTAATATTGCACCACTTGCCTTTTAAGGAAGTTTCACAAGTATTGCACCATACCCATTTTTGGGAAAAAAATGTCTATTCAAAATGCAAATACCCACGATACCTTTACTTTTTAACACATGTTTCTTTAGTTTTTGCTTACAATAACATGGGCAATTTTGTATTTTTCCTCTCTTTCCTTCCACTACAAAAAAAATAAAAAAAAATAAAAAAAAAATGAATTGTGCCCTCCCCCCATGGTGCAATTTTAATAGAACAAAAGTATTAAATAAGAAAAAATTATTAAAGTTAATATTCAGAAACAATACATTGAGACGATTCTAACAAATTCCCTGGAAAAAATTGTTTTTTTTTTTTTTTTTCTTATACATGAATCAACACTGTTCAATAGTGTAAAAAGTCAAAATGGTAAACTATAAAAATTGGAGTATTTAACTACATAAGGAAGTTTTTTTTGTACATAGTGCAACTTAAGAGTTACAACTACATCGCTCTCTCAGTCTCATCTTTAAGTCTTACCACATTCATTTTTTAGGTGGGTGTACTGTGCTGCCATGCCTGCCAAACATCTGAGAATTAATTTTTTTTTTTTTTTTGGAAGTTGGAGTTTTCTCTTACGTCAGTCTGCCCTATATTTTCTCTCTGGAGTTTGCATATGTGGTGTTATGCTGATGTTACATGTTTACATGAGTTTGGGCAAGCTGTTTTGTACTTTGGTTTCATAATGCTACTGACATATTGTATTCAAATTAAAAGGTGACACCTGAGGCAAAGCAGAAAGCTGCAGAAGCAAAATCACGAGGTCATGAAGCTTTCAATAGGAAAGACTATGCATTGGCTACAGATGCGTACACACAGGTAAAGTCATGTCATTTCTTGTGTATGCGCATAAATTATAATTATTTTTTTATTTTTTTATTTAAATTTGATATACTATATCATAGACCAGCTTCTGCTATTGAATCTAGTACTTCGTAAGAATTTTATTGTGTCTGTGTCTTCATAATTATGCCTGTGTCTTCATAATGTACTCAGCTGCAGTTTTTAATCTTCTCTGACCTAAGATATACAGTTTAGGCTGCTTGTCTTGTAAACCTGTCTGATACTGTCATATGAATTATTTTTTAATCTTTATTCCTCAAGGAACATTTTTGGCATGTTTTTGAAAGCACACAGTTTACTTGTACTCGAGCCCCTTTCCATAACCAATTATTAAGGGTAATCAAAGTTGTAGATTGCTAGAAAAGGTTTTGTTTGAGGTTTCTGGTTCTCATTATGGAGCTGTTTCAAAGAAAAGGGAATTCGTGCAGGTCTATCACTTTATCCTAGGTAAAAAGGTTTTAAAGATCATTTATTGGGTCAAAGCCTTGAGGAAATAGTGCAAATGTTTGAGGTATGAAACACCTATTGAGGTTCGGTACTGGAGATGCCTTGAGGAAATAGTGCAAATGTTTGATGAGCTACTCAAGTTGGAGGAAATATATTCTGGGACAGCTTATGTGTAGATTCCTGAGTTTGATCCATTACTGCTTTTGTTTCAAACTACTTTTAATTTCAACTTAATAGGCCAAATTTGGTATTTATGGACAAATCATTTGACTTTGTCATTTGTTTTCTATTATGTATAGTTGAAACAGAAAAATTATCTCCAAAAACTAATTGCAAAAAATCTAGATGATGTTTTCACATCTATACATTTTTATAGAAACTTATGGTCAAGATTGGCGAGGTTTGGCTATCAGAGTCAGATACAAGCTATTTTTTAACCCAACTTGTAAAAGAATTCTTAGCATTTACTTGTATAAGTCCTGATGTGATAACATATTTGTTGGTCTCTGGTGATTTTGACAGGCTATTGATCTAGATCCTTCTGATGCCACATTCTACTCGAATAGAAGTCTCTGTTGGTTTCTCCAGGGACAAGCTGAGCAAGCACTGGCTGATGCTAAGGCATGCAGATCACTTAGACCAAACTGGGCCAAGGCTGCCTATCGTGAGGGTGCTGCACTACGTCTCTTGGAGGTATGTTCCTTAAATATTATTCCGTTCAAAATACATATGTTATGACGAAGCTTCTAATAAGATTAGATTTAATCCCTTCTCTATGCTATTTTAGAGGTTTGAGGACGCTGCCAATGCATTTTATGAAGGCGTGCAACTTGACCCAGAAAATAGGGAGTTAGTTACTGCTTTTAGGTAATTTCCAAGTTCCTATTTGATTTTCCTTTTATGTGGTTCTGAAGTTTATTGGTCTTTCTGATCTTGAAAGCGATTCTTAAGTCTAATCTATGTCATTGCCAATATCTTGAATTCGTGATCTTCACAGGGAGGCAATTGAGGCAGGGAGGAAATTTCATGAGAGTAATCAAGCAAAATAAGCGGTATTGCGGCATTAATGTACCACAATTTTGTTCATAGGGAGAGAAGCTGTGAATTATCCAATACTTTGCCTATGTATATCTGCGTTTTTTTTACCCTTGGTCCAGCTTCTCTCAGTATTGCTAGCAATTTTAATGTCCCAAGGTGTGGTTTTTCAACATTTTTCCAGATTATTATATTGATCATTTTTTAGTTCTTGAATCTTGCACAACTGAAAGAATGGGTTGGAGGTTGTCCAAAAATTGCCTCATTTAGGAAGTGTTAATTAATTGACCTTTAATAGTGTTTAGAATGAAAAGTTTGGATCTTATGTGGTCTAGAGTGAGTTGAGCTAATAAGTATGGGAACTACTAAATACATTCAGTTCAAGCTTATTCATTAAAAAATTGAATAGAGAGTGAGGGATTATTGTTAATTGATGATATTAAGAATCAAGTTTGAATGGTAAGATTTACATTATGTTCCGATCTATTAACAATAATCAATCAACAATAATTATTCTATGAATCAAGTTTGAATTGTGAGATATTATGAATCAAGTTTGGATTGTAAGATTCATAAGTAAATTATGTGTAAATGGGTTCTACTCATTATGTTCTATGTTCTCTTTCATAAAGTAAATGTTAACTTATTATGTTCTTAGGAGCCTAGGAGCCGTAGGAAGTACTGGTAGATTGTAACTTGTTGCTTTTTACTAATGCTTGTTTGCTATACTAAGCTTGTTCAAACCTCGTTCAATCTTGTGTTTGAAATGCATACGATCAAGCTCGAGCAAGTATTTGATCAAGTTAAATAGGTCAACTCGAACAAAAAAAAACACAAAAGAATGTTGGTTCAAGTTAGAGCGTAATACTCGAACATTAATAATCTTTAACAAGCTGAGCTCGAACATGCAACAAGTAATTTTTTTGATTGGCGTTGCACCTTTTGCTTGGGTTAAACGTTAAATACACACTGAAAACTTGTTATATTCGTAATTTCGTTATTAAATCATAGATATACGAAGTGATACTTCAAATTGTCCTATTCTTAACATTTGACTTTACTTATTTAGTACTTGAGTAGGTTATTTTAGGGTATGAAAAGAAGTGATAAGATATTGTGACTTAAAACATGTAGTTAGAGAGCGTGTAGGTTATTTTGAGGTATGAAATGAACTGTAAAAAGACTCTTCTTCCTCACCCCAGTCACTTCCTGTCTTCCTCCTAGATGCCACTGGTTTTATGCATCTATATATGGATGACTCCAAGATTGTGACTTAAAACAAACTATAAATAGAAAATGTGTAAGTAATTTTGAGGTATGAAATGAACTGTAAAGAGATTGTGACTTAAAAAAAAAATGTAAATAGAGAAAGTTTAAGTGATTTTGGGGTATGAAATGAAGTAAAAAGAGATTGTGACTTTAAACAATATACTACAAAGTATAAATAGAGAATGTGTAGGTTATTTCGAGGTATAAAATGAAGTAAAAAGAGATTGTGATTTAAAACAAGACTAGTTTTTAGCCCGGTGATGTCCCGAATCATTATATGTATATTGAAAATGAACTTTTATAATAAAAATTATGTGATCAAATATAAATTCAGATTAAATTAGTTACATTTATTTCAATACTCGTACTATTTAAAATATATTTTTCAAATCATTATTGAAAATTAAAATATATTATCAATATCTAGTATCCTAAAATTGTTGTTTCAAAAAAAAAAGTATCCTAAAATTGTTAGTTTAATTCATTTTATATAATAAAAATATAGGTTTATTTTATGTATGAGCAAACAAAAGAAATTAGATTAATTTTTGTTATTATAGATTGTTGTTAGAAAAACAAAAAAAATTGTTGTTAAATATACATGTATAAAATTGAATATGAATATGATTAACTCTTTTTTATAAAACGTTGTAGACATAAGACGTGCCGTTGTGGTTGAAGGTAAAGTATAATGAACTATGAACATGAGGTTATAGTTTCAAACATTAATGCTAACAATTGTTAATTTTTTGTTAATGAATAATAATAATCGTATGACATGGCGCCACATCATCTACATAGTAATGATGACACGTGGCGCGATAATGTCTTTCCATTGCCCGAGCAATGCTCGGATAATCACAAGAAAAAGTTATTTTTATAAATTACTATAAACTTGTACGAAGTATCTATTTATGTTATCAATTATTATAGATTAGATACGGTAATGTAGAGTACTTATCTCTAATAATTTTAGTTTACTGACAGTTATGAATTTAAAATTGAGTTAAAACCCTTTATTTAAGTAGAAAACGAACAATACATTTAATATATTAACGATGAAAGATTCAAGGGAATATAATATACATTTTATAGATTAACGATTTTATTTATTTAAGTTGTTATTATTGTTCTATTTTTTAGGTTGTTTAGGCTGCATGTTCTTTATTATTATTATTATTATTATTATTATTATTATTATTATTATTATTATTATTATTATTATTATTATTATTATTATTATTATTATTATTATAAAAAACCTACAAAGTCAAATGATTTATAAGAAATTAGTGGGGAGCCGAGATACAATCTGGGCCCCCACCCCTCTAGCTATAGCGAATCCAATCCTGTTGAAGATGTGAGCAGTCGCACGAATGCCAATATCTTGAGTCCTAGCGAACGCTTGAATCCGCTTCAGCAACACAACAACATCCTTCTCTAATTCCCCCAATGAAGAAAAGGAGAAAGGAAGGAAACCATAGCCAATAGCCCTGCAACGCGCCCCATACTTGTCTCGCTTCCGCTGAACCGCAACCGACACAACACGACTAGGAACAAAGTCAGACAACCTAGATTGTGTCAAAGGAGATGACCCCGTCAAGTCAACACATACATCTAGGCCTCTATCCCAGGAGTAAAGCAACACATCTGCTGGTCGAAGAGCCCCGTCGTTCCCACCAATTAACCCAACATTAACCTCCTTTCTTGCGGAAATCCCAGAGCGGAAACAAATATCAACAAGGGTATCACGAACAACGTTGTGCCGATGTTTAATACCCACCATCCCAGCACAAGACACTGCATGATCCTCAAAAATATCCCCATCAAAAACCCTTGAGCAAGCAGAACAAGGTGTCGAAACAGAGAACAAGGGAACACCCAACCGGTAGCAAAGAACACAACGGTAAGTCTTACCATTCATAGTCTGATCCAAACCTGATATCGGGACTGCTCGCAGCCAGGCAGAAGTGTGATCCCCCTGCTGGAATTTCCATAAGGCAACCTGACGCGGAGATAAGGAGAAAGTAAATTCTATAGATAATAAACTTTTTAATTTTATTTAAATTATTATGGGTGTGCATCATTCCATTCCCTAAATATAAGGCTAAAACTTAACAAACTTCTTTCAATAATAATAATAATAAAAAAAAAAGTAACAAACTTTTTAGCGGGAAATTTTTTATGAGGTAATGACACGTGTAGTTTGGCTATAATTATGGGGATTACTTTAGTACATAGTATAGATATATAGATATAGATGTAAATAAAGAACATGTAAGTCATTTAGGGGTATGAAATGAAGTGAAAAGAGATTGTAACTTAAAACAAAATATAAATAAAAAGGCAAATATAAATAAAGATTGGTTATTTATTTATTTATTTATTTATTTTGAAAAAATTCAATTCATTAATCAAAAGCCATATGGCCCTACAAATGAAATCTAAATCAACAAATACATAGAATTAAATCAAATAATGATTTCCTTCATCAAAGCTACAATCGTTAAATAGGTATTGCACTATGGTACATCTCTCGCACACATTGCTGGAATATATAGCCTTTTCGGAGAGAAGGTATAACGATTTGTTGTAACCGTAAGAATGATTTTCATCTAATTCACTTGAATGCCTTTGAAGATTTGACGACCATTGCGATCTCGGACAACTCTTTACCAACGAACTGATAATAGGGCAAAAGATGATTACCTTTTTAATAAACCTAACACACAAAAAACCCTAAATAAAAACAAACAACAAAACTAACAAAATCTAACGACTCCACCATAGGGACACACTCCACCATAGGGAGACGTACAAATATCTATACTACTCGTGTAGATTTATTGAAAACTAAATTGCAAAACTAAAAGAAATTAAGGGAAAAGGGTCGGAAATTAAATAATCTAATTTCCGGCCTAAACGACTAAAAATTTGGAGAAACCCTAGAAGAGAGGAGGAGAGAAGAAGATTGGTTCTTTATTTAAAACTTTTTTTTAAGTACAAGAAAGGAAAAGAGTGGTTTTTGTTATAAATGCTCAGAAAGAAAAGATTTTTTTTTTTTTTTACAAAAATAAAAAATCCTACCATATTGTGTGCACTTTTATTTTAATTTTACTATACTTATGTAAGAAATTGCAATATCTAGTAACCCCGTTTATATTCATATCTATTAAATAATCTATACTAATCTATTAAAAGGCGTTCTAAAGTAAGTCTACGTGTCATGTGGAACCAAGTCAAACACTAGAAACATGCCATGTCATTCCTGATGCAAAATTAAATAAGAACTATTTACCATCTTAGCTACTTAATAATTGTGATTTCTTATTCCATTGAAATATATTCAACTTGGATTGAATGAGTGTTAATTTATACAAATTCTTTAATTTGATTTTATATTGATTGATAGTTTCCACTATAGGTAGTGTTGGCTGATTGCAAGAAAATGTTAACTTTTGATTTAATATTATTTTAATCGATAGTTTCCACTATATGTCATAAAATACCATGTATTATGTTCAATAGTCAATAATTACTAAACAACTAAAATAAATGTAAATAAAAAGGATACAAAGTAAAATCATTTGATATAATCATCAAACAACTAAAAAAAATAGGTTGAACTCTTTTATGTAACATTATCATTACAATATGATGTTTAATGTAGAAATCGGGGACATTGTCTCTGGGCCACATACTAGTTACTATTTTAAAATATGAAAGTTTGCTTACAAAATGCTATATATATCCCTCCTATCTCATATGTTTTTATTTTAGCTATTATTCAGGCACCCATGTACAACTCTTAAATGGACCTGTTTTACACTAATTTATTTGTGAACCACTAACATTAGGTTACTATATTAATAAAAATAAAAAATAAAAAAAAAAGTTACTATATTAAAATAAATGTTATTATGTTGAAATAAAAGTCATTTTGATATTATAATGATGTAAGAGGTCAATTTTGTTTAATGAAATTTTTTATATACCGGTCAATATGAATAATAAATGTCACTATGTTAAAATTAGGGTCATTATGTTCAACATAACGTCGTATTTCAGGTTCACATTAATATTAAAGGTCATACAAGTTTTAATAAAGGTTATCCTTTTAAAAATAAGGTTATTAGGTTAAAAATAAGGTTACTATGTTAA